GCTTTGTTTACCGCGCCTCGTTTCACGATCAGCTGGTGACCTGGATACGCGAAAAGATGCTTCGTTTCCGCTCTCTATAATTAAATACTCTCTGGTGAGACACGGGTATTAGCTCCCTTAGAGATTGGACCAACTACGTCATCGTTCCTTATGTAAACATACACGTCATCATTCAATGAGTACCAAAGATATATAAACCGGACTAGACTTCTCAGCTGTGGCGTCACGAGTGTTAAACTTGAGGAGCGCTCCGCCATTACAGAGAGGAATAAAAGGAAAGTCGGGGCACGGAATATTGATACTCTACGAAGTCTTTTGATGTTGATTTCTTTTTCATGTGATTTGCCTATCGCTAAAATGTACCCATAGGGATTTTCGTGATTGTGTACATTTAAAGAAGCCAGATAATCTCCAAATAATGAAAATAGGGCCTTTTACACGTTGAAACTAAATGGATGTGTAAATTTCAGAAAAACGAATGAGATGGACTTTATAATCACTTGTTAAAATAAAAAGATAATTTTATTGAAATCTTTAGCTGTTCGTAGCTCAAACGGTATAATTTCATTTAACACTGCTGACCACAACAAGGCGCTCGTATCGGCCCTCTGGAACCAGGAATGTTACTGAGAAGCTGCTAGAAGCTTCAGCTGCAACTCTAGCACACCTTCAAAGGCTGGCTGAATGGAAAAGAACCACTGTCCCCACTATTTTTTTAACCTCATCCCCAGTATTTTCTAGACCATCCCTAATATTTTCTAGCCCACCCCGAGTATTTTCTAGATGATCACTATTATTTTCTAGCTCATTCAGAACATTCCGTACTATTTTTTAGCACATCCCCAATATTTTCTAGATTATCCCTATTGTTTTCTAGCTCATCCTTAATCATTTTTAACTTATCCAAAGTATTTTCTAGATAGGTCATCCCTAATATTTTTTTAATCATGCAGAATATTCTTCACTATTTTTTAGCTCATCCCCACTATTTTCTAGATTATTCCTATTATTTTCTAGCTCATCCCTAATATTTTCTAGCTCATCCCCAGAATTTTCTAGGTCATCCCTAATATTTTCCAGCTCGTCCCTAGTATTTTTTAGCTCATTCTGAATATTCCACACCATTTTTTAGTTCATCCTCAGTATTTTCTAGATGATCCCTATTATTTTTTTGCTCATCCCTAATATTTTCTAGCCTATCCCCAGTATTTTCTAGGCCATCCCTAATATTTTCTAGATCTTCCAGAATATTCCCCATTATTTTTTAGCTAATTTCTAGTAATTTCTAGATTGTCCCTATTATTTTCTGGCTCATCCCTAATATTTTCTAGCCATTCCAAATGTTCCCTTTTATTTTTTAGTTCATCCCTAGTATTTTTTAGGTTATCCCTATTATTTCTAGCTCATCCTTAATATTTTCTAACTCATCCCAAGTATTTTTCAGCTAAACTATATTATTTTCTAGCTTATCCAAAGTAGTTTCTAGCTCATTCGTACTATTTTCTAGTCCATCCCCAGTATTTTCTAGATTATTCTTACTATTTTCAAGCTCATTCCCAGTATTTTCTAGTTCATCCTCAGTATGTAAGAAAGGGGGATGGGAGGGTGCAAAAAGTCCCCAGAAAGGTGAAAAATTATATTGGAACAGCCCCTAAATACAATGAAAATGTTTGAAATTTGCGCAACGTTTTAGGCGCCGAAATGATCCATCCGTGGTGCTCAACCTGCAAGGAGTCTCAGTAAAAAGGATGACATTCACAACATCATTTTTCTCTAGGGAGTAAAAACTTCAAGGATAACCAAGTTGCCTGCAGCAAGATCTACCAGTTCTCATTTCTCCACATTACCGTCAAGTTTTACGTTGATATATGTAACTCTCGGGGAGCTGCGGTCTAGGAACAAACTAGTCTGCTGTGTCAAGGAAAAAATCAGCACAAAAAACAAAGAGTATCTGAACTTATTTTTGACGGAGCCGATCCTTTCCACAACAATGTACAAGCACTGAGAAAACATGGTGCAGAATAAAAACGTTTTTGATGTTTACAATGAAAATGATATGGTTTGGTAAGATGAATAAGAATACTATATATTATGTACGACAATAAATTGTGCAATATAATGTTCTTCCATACTGAGGAAAACGCACACATGGGCTCACAACTTATCTCTTATTTTTAACAAGAGTTAATATGTCGATATTTCAATTGGAAACAGTCTTTAGATTACTATAGAGTCCACATATTATTCTACAGCAATAAATGGAAAAGAAGTGAACAATTTCAGGACACACGTACACTCAAATCATATTGACCATGATCAGAGTATGGAAAGTACTAAAATATCACGACTCACCCACTTCCACCTACAAGTGGCATGATCAACTTACGATGACTTTTAACAGCACAAAATGTGATGGAGAACACATTCTCAAGATCCCGTGATCACACATGTCACTCACAATTTGGACAATATCCATGTCCATGAATAAACTGATGAATCGATAAAATCCAGCAACATCCACTTCTTGCCAGCCATCATATATTCACGGTCTTTGAGGTCCAGATAGCTCAACATTAGCGTTCGTAAAATTACAAAAGTGTTGAACGAGGTCCTCGGTGAAGAACAGCAGAAAAAAAATCAACGAGTCTTGTGAACTGTTGGAAACTGTCTCTGGTCCTCCCATTTTCTGACAGTGAGGCTCCAACTGTAGCAGCGACTGGGAAGGTGGCCGGTGAAGAGACGCACGGGCCAGTGCCAGGATCATCATTGGACGAGGAACTGAGGACGATAGAAATTATCACCAATAAACGTTAGCAAACAGCTTGAGCTTATTAAATATGAGTTTTAGAACATCACAGGACAATAAATAACTGTGGAAGACAGAAATAAATCACAACAAATTAAATTTTGAAAACAAATTGGGTTCATTTAAAAGGGTTAGGCGTATAATATTTTAAGAATTTACACACTATTGTCACAGCATGTCACAGATTCAGGATTTTCTAACATTGGGACTTCCTGTTTTTCCTTCAATTCAACTCATTAAGCCGACATTTTACAAATCAAAGTAGACCTAAGTGGTAAATTAAATTAGGTAAACTGTTCTGTCTTTGTTTGACAAAAAATTGGGCAGCTGTACATTCTTTTACATTTTGATGATACGTGTATTTCTTTAGACCTTTTGAAGCATGGATGTTCTATGGCCTTACATGAGAGCAGGAAGTGACTGGGAATAAATTATTAATATTATGTCATCAATTGACCTCTTTCTTTTATTTTTTTCACATTTTTCTTCACTATTCATGACAATTGTTTTGAGTTATTATCAATTCAATTTTCATTGATGAGCACAATAAAAAAAGTCTCACTGTCTAAATATTTTGCTGCTATTCTTTGGCCATAATACATCTATAATATATATATACTGATATTATAGGCCTTATAAATCTAATCTTATATATCTGTTCGGAACCGTTGCTCAGTTTTGAGAAATTTGACATACCGTAAAAAGATTTTGAGTTTCACAAAATGTCAAGCTTTTTCAAATAGGCCCGCAATGCTTTGAATATCTTGATAAGGATTCAGAATAATCTTACAGCTTTAATAGAGTCGATAGAGCATTTGACTTTTTATCTCATGGTCTTAGTCTTAGTAAATCACAACAGCCGTAAATGTCAGACAGAACCTCGTAATTCTGAGAGATATACGTAGACATACTCCAAAGTGAGGGAAATGAGAACATCATGCGTTACATAGCAAAATAGATTCAGCATTAACACATTCACAAAGCGATGATTCATGATTTATTATTTTAAAAAAAATCAAAACAAATAAGTGTGCTACATGGACATGAGAATATCAGACAATTTACTTTACAACCATAACACAACTGCATTGACCATTGTGTCAACAATTTTAGTTGATTAGATCTAGAATCTAGATCTCTAGCTAGACTGGATCTAGATTCTACATATTATGAAGCTTGTAAAACTGCCAAAACGTCCTTTACTATTTTACCCTGGTCACCAACAATGCTCCTTAATCTTCCAAAACGTCTCGTTCTGGATCAGCAGGTAGATCTGTACCAAACACAGATCGACTGCCTTCTTTTCACAAAATAGGACAAGATCTAGATTCTAGATCTTGACTAGATCTAGAATCTAGATCTAGAATCTAGACATCTAGCTGAGATCGAGGTCGAGATTCTAGATCTAGATATCTAGAGATTCTATATCTAGAGATTCTAGATTTAGAATCTAGATCTAGATCTAGATCTAGATCTAGACTAGGATTAGAATATATCTAGATTCTAGATCTAGATCTAGATTAGATTTTAGCTAGGTTTTAGATCTACTAGATATCTAGATCTAGTATCTAGAATCTAGATCTAAATCTAGTATCTTCTAGAATCTAGATTCTAGGCCTAGATTTAAATCTAGATCTAGTCTAGATCTATCCATCTGGCACATCAAAACAGTTCTGCTTGAGAAAATTATATCTGAAATTTACTGAAATAATACTCAAAATACGGTCAAAGAGAGGTAACCGTACAAATACTGAAGTGGGGTTGAATTTTCATGGTTATCTTCCCTTTAACCCATACCCAAAGATAATAGCCTAATACTAGTACATGTAATACAATAGCTCACAGCATGACGTTCTATGTGTCAGACATGGGTACTTTCTTACTCTTATTGGCATGGCCGGCGTGACCCGATTTACATGTACAATCTCTGAACCCCCATCTTGCTTCCCACTAGCTCTAGCATTAAAAAAACCACCATTCTGTCTCGAAAAGTAGGCTGCTAATTCGTCTGTTGATCCGCGCTTTTCACGTGTCTCAGAGTGTCTCAGAGTGGGTGACACCACTTCCGCCAAATGAAGTACGAATTAGTATAGTATCTTTGGTCTTGCCGGAAATACTTACGAAAAAAATAATATTCCCGAATAAAAATTGTATTGTACTAAATTGAAAGAAGAAGGCAATTCACAATACAAAACAAGTTTACAAGTCATTAGTTCGCTAAAAAACATTTTAAGAATGATAATTACTGCTTTGCTAACACAAGTGCTTTTAGCGAAACGATACAAATCCACCTTTTGTATTTTAAAGAAAAACCGGAACTAGTGCGTGGTGTTTACACAAACGATGATGACGTAATTGTAAAGATACAATGTGTGTGCAAAGATCAATGACGTAGATACACATCGCGCCGGAAATACGCACGTAAAAAAATAATATTTCCTAAAAAAACCCATATAATACTATATTGACAGAAGATGGCAATTCACAATATAAAACAAGTTTACCAGTCATTTGTGCTCTAAAAAAACTTTTAAGGAGTGATAATTACTGCTCTGCTAACACACGTTCTTTTAGTGAAACGATAAAAATCCTGCTTTTGTATAATTTCAAAGTAAACATGAACTGGTACCCTCTCATCAGTGAGGCTATCTTTAATTAATCTAGATCTAGATCTAGATCTAGATTTAATAATGTAAAATAACTTCCCCAGAGAAGATGAGTTAAGATTTTAAACAAAAACACAAACTTAATGCTTTTGGTGACATTTTATACCACACATATCAGGAGGAAGTTGACAAAGACTTACGAGGGAAAATGCTTTCCGTTGCTATGGAATCACTAAGATGCTAAGGTGCACATTCAGAATGTTGAGAAAACTCGTCAAAGCTCGTTTCTCTCTATACTAACTTATGGACTACCATACTACCTGTAGGTATGTCATCATTGGCACTGTTTGAACTTGCATTGATCGATCTAGATCTAGATCTAGGCAAGGCCACAAGACTGAATTGAAGTCGATGCTATCCCTGTCAGCTGCAACCAAAAACTCTCCCCAGGTTCAACTTTGCGCGCCAGGAAGTTCTGGAGTATTCAAAAAAATCTAGATAAGCTAGATCTTGATCTGACTCACTCCCTATAGATCTATAGGCCTAGGCCTAGCCTAGAATCTAGGTCTAGCCTATGGAAGTCCAAGGAAAATTTATATCTAGATCTAGATCTAACAACTTAAACGAAGTTGTAGAATGGACTGATGAACTGGTTCAAAGAAAAAAGAAAACGGATGAAAGAAAAGATGCAGGGTTTTTGTGGTCTTGATTTGGCACGCTCTGTGTGTAGATCGACGCGATAGGTTAATGCCAGCCAGAGAGTAAATATTAATGCGCTGAGGGATGCAAAAAGGTTTTAAAGATAAGAAAATTCACATAATGCTGCAAATGTTCAAACTTTCGGCTAAATTAAACGAGGAGAGAACTAGACCTATGACTGTGAAAAGAAGTTACATTTGTGTCTAGATCTATAGAACGAACAAAAAACCCCCCCAAAAAAAGAAAAAGAAAACAGCTGGACAAACGATGTAAAAAGGTATAAATAATCACTAAATTTATTATCCCGAGGGTGTCTACACAAAGGATAATGACGAGAAAATAAAAAGAATATTATGTGTATGCAAAGATCTAACGTTGATGATTACATAAAGAACAATTACATATTATTTAATTTATTTATGTGTACTCTTCAATTTTATGAGCTTATGATAGCGTAGTACCTGATGAGGGTAGCCTACCAGTTGCTGTTTTCTTTGAAATACAAAAGCTGGATTTGTATCGTTTGGCTAAAAGCACACGTATCAGTCAGTCATGCCTGAAATATTGTTTTAGAAAATGAATAACTTATAAACTTGTTTTGCCTTGTGAATTACCTCCTTTTGTCTCTAGATCTATATATATAATCTTATAATATATATTTTTTAATGCAAATACTATTTTTTGCTTGTGTATTCCCGGCACGAGCAAAGGGATTCTATTCAGTACTAGAGTTTGTGGCAGTGATGTCACCCATGTAACGAGCGGGGGCTCTGTGTGCCCACACTGGGACACTGAACATCAAGCGCATGACATGAGCAGTTCAGCCGACGGGTGAGTACTTTTCGAGACACAACGGTGGTGTTTAGAACGCTAGAGCTAGTGGGCAGCGGGATGGGGGTTCAGGATTGTACATGTAAATAGGGGCACACAGGCCATGCTGATGAGAGTAAGAAAGTCCCCATGTCTGACACGTGGGGCGACACGCTTGGCGTCCCTTGCAACGTCTAGGTCTTTATAGACTTTGAAGCTCAGTTCAGTTTTGTTTCAAGTTTTCTTTTTGTTCGCTGTTGTTTAACCATATGACATATACACATACACAATACCGCACCTGATGACCGATTGTGGGAAGCGTAGATCTAAATGTACCTAAATGTGGGCTTCAAATGAACAGAGAGATATAATATTATGGGGCATTGTTTGTTTTTCCCTGGTGGGATGGGGGAGGAGTGGAGGGAGACAAAGTGAGTCATTGAGTTTATTAAGAAAAAGAACCATTTCATACGTACATGGATTGCTTTTATGTCATGTTGTCTACACTCTCCTTCTACTGATGCAAAGCCAAGGTCTTCATAGAGTATGAACAGGGTTAAGACTGGGTTAACAATTTAATATTTATTTGTTGTTGTCTCAAAATGAGCAATTAATTGTAGGCTGGGATATTCACTCATTGTATGGATTCTGTGTGCACACCCAAGCGTTGTTTAATATTGAGCACAAATAATTATATACTGACAACATTTTAAAATGCCACACTTAGATAATATCTCCGGTTATCTTAAACGTTTAACAATTTTTTTTAAAATTGGCGTGACTCATATTGGCAATGGTGTTTGGTTATACAACACCCTATCTTCCATGAACCCATGCTGCTGCTGTTGCACATGCTGTTTGGCATCGGTTCCGCAAATGAGACAGAATATTACGACTGCCTTATTGGTGGATAGTTGCACCTGGTTGGCTACTACTTTATAGGGGCATATTCTCTCATCTCCACAAATAAATTTATGTGTTTTTTTTAACAAGTGATTATAAAGTCCATCTCATTCATTTTTCTGAATTTTACTCTCCCATAATATAATTTCAACACGTTTAAAGGCCCTGTTTGCATTATTTGGAAAATTTCTGGTTTATTTAAAGGTAAACAATCACGAAAATCCCTAGGAGTATAATTTATCAAAAGGCAAATCACATGAAAAAGAAATCAATATCAAAAGACTTCTCAGAGTACCTATATTCCGTGCACTGACTGGCCTTTTATTCCTCTCTGTAATGGCGGCGCGCTCCTCAAGTTTGACACTCGTGACGTCACAGCTGAGAAGTCTAGTCCGGTTTATATATCTTTGGTACTCATTGAATGATGACGTGTATGTTTACACAAGGAACGATGACGTAGTTGGTCCAATCTCTAAGGGAGCTAATACCCGTGTCTCACTTTTATATTTCATTGTTATTTCCCTTTTAAATATTGCCAGAGACAGATATTGCGCTGTTGTGATAATTTTCGCATTTTATCTTTTCATTTTATTTTTTAATAAATTCGTAATCAAATATTATTTTAATTTCCAAGCGCTATGGACTATACTATAGTATAGCTTCGTGAATTTTCTCGGAACCGCGCCAACACGCCAAAATTACAAATTGTATAATTCTTTCATTTCCAAGTAACAAAACTCTAGATATCTAGATTCTAGATTCTAGATTCTAGATCTAGATCTAGATCTAGATCTAGATCTAGATCTATAGAAGATCTTAGTCTTAATTTCAAAGTTAGGCCTAGATGACGCGTTGCTAGATATATTTAAAAATCTTTGTTGACAATTCGCTATCAGCTGAGTCTGAGTCTGAGTCCATATTTCCATTCCTGCTGTGGCACTGAAAAACCTAAAACTAAAGGCAAGAGACTGTCTACTAATCAGGGGAAGAATCTGATCTGGAATCTGTGTTTGATTTCTCAAATTGAGGTTTGAGGAATGGAAGAAATGTCAATCATCATTAGATCTAGACCTGATCTAGATTCTAGATCTAGATAGATCTATATATATACATGTGTACGTCGCATAAGAAGCTTCGTTCGATGCCGGCGGACTAGAAGATCTAGATCTAGATATCTAGATTAGATCTAGTCTAGCTAGAGATCTAGATAATAATTTAATAAACCATGTATTCTCTTGAAGGATCGGAGAAGTAGATTTCTATATGCATGGGCCTAGATCAATTTCAATGTCATACATCGCACACCCTTTTTCTTCACCTTCTTCACATTTGTTTTTCTGACTATTGACTGTCCCTTGGCTTAGGTCTAGATTCTAGAGATCTATCTGTTCGCCAATTTCGTTATCAACACCCGAACATTCTTTCTCTCTTACAACAGTCTCTGTACCTCTGTCTGTCTGTCTATCTCTCCCCCCCCTCTCTCTCTCTCTCTCTCTCTCTCTCTCTCTCTCTCTCTCTCTCTCTCTCCGGCTGACAAATGACACACCCTATCCCTAACCCTAACCGTAACTCTTGCACAGTTTGCTGGAATACAGGGTGTCTTAAAAAAAAGAAAAAAGGACCCCATTAAATGGCAATTATAATTCCATCTATGCTTTAATTTCGATAAAACTTCAAACTACTAAAATTCTGGGGCTCTCGTGGTCTAGTCGAGGCTACTGTGTTCTCCTCTCATTCAATATGTCCCACATTTGAAACCTGACAGCGACACAAAGTTTTCTTTTCTAGGCTAAACTTTTCTCTTTCTCCTCCTGCTCTCTAACCATGTTCTGTCGTCTGATTTCGTCTTCACTTTTATTTTTTAAAATATTTCATTGAAACTGGTCGAAAGATAACAGCCTTTTAAATGGGCCCTCTTTTTTTAGACACCCGTTACTATCTCTCTATTGCAATAATGATGAAGCTAGATTAAAGTGTGTTAAATATATTGAAATAGATTTATGCAGTAAACAAACCTGATGACGGTTACCTAATGTTTCTCTTTATGACATGGTTATTATTGTTTCATTACAGTGGGGAGATATTTGCTCACAAGACAAACGTGTGTGTCTTAGTGACAGAGACCTGGTTTATCTCCTGGACATGAGGAGAGAGCAAAGGTCAACCAGAAACTGGAGGAGGGCGAGGAACCGGGGAACAGAATTTTTGCTGAAACAACAGACTTTAGCGAGACATAGAGGGAAAAGAAGACAAACTACAGTGGAGTCTGCTGAAACCAAACACGGTTCATCCGATAATCATATGGCAGTAAACCAACATAAAATAATGTCTCTATTTTTTCTTCAGTTGAAGCAACCTCTGTAAACCAGATACCAGGCTGAAGTCTCATCTCTACGAATGACAAAGTACAGAGCTATTTTAAGAGCTGAGGGACGTTCTAAACTATAGATATCTACATATAAGATGTTATAGTATAGGTGTGATCTATTCAGGGGGAACTAGGCTCCTGAGAAAAACAATGCCAATCTACATTCATTATATTTTTTCAAAATAATTTTTCAAAACGTTAATTTAGATAATTTATATATTTAGTTTCTCACTCAATACATTAGAAATTTTCATGTCAATGTTTTAAAGTTTTGTCTTTTGTAAGCTTGTTATCTTGAAGATTTCGCACAACTAAAAACAGATAGAGCTTAAAGAAGGTGAAAATTGGACAGAGTGGAAAATTACAGATTCAGAAAATGCTCCTTGCCTCAGAAAGTGATTTTCCCATTTCCCTCTTGGTTTCCCTTTGCCACCACTATTTGTGTTTCTCTTTCTGCTGGGCTGATATTTGCTCCAATCAAGTCATTGATGCTCTAGCTGTTCCTGTCTTTTTCTTGGTCTTCCCCTTCCTGTGTTTTCTTATACCTTTCTGTGGATAACAATTTTACCCAGAGATTCTGTGTTTTTGTGAGCCAAAATAAGTGAGCTTTGTGGTCAAATTAAATCTATAAATAAACAGTTCTTTATCTGGAGCTTTTATAAGATCCTCCGGTTGCATTATTTAGAATTCTGTTTCTACATATTTGTTTCTTTTTCATTTTGTTTCAGATCCCAACAGTCGACTGTACCTGAGTGCCACAGAAATCTCGCCCTTCCTTGAGATACAGCCATAGTTCTCTCCCCTGACCATAGAATATGAAGCTTTCACCGACAAAGACATCTTGCCGGTTCGGATCCAGGCAAGGTCTAAGCTCTGTGGCGCCATCGGCTGGCTAGATAACACAGTAGACAGCAAACAGTAAGTCCAGGTTTTGTCTTGTGGTCAAGTCAACATTTCTCTCTGACAAATTAATGATTTGTAATGACTGTAAATGTTTTACACCCTCATCAACACTTTTTAGGTCAGTCAGTCAGGTTGTCAGGGCCAACCCAGGTTGAGAGGGATACATTTTAGGACAATTTCCTAGGAGTAAAGATTTTTTCAACGTGTTAGTCTTGGCCTCTGCCTGTTTTTGCATCAATCATTCAGCTTAAGGCGAGGTATTTGAGACATATCTTTGTGACAGAATGTGTGTCAAAAAAAGCTACACTTGTTTTTTTTGTTTTTGTTTTTTTAAAAAGCAACTTTTGCGGAGACGGCTTTTGTAACACCTACAGGACTGTGGACGAGAAATCCAAATGCTTTCCCAGGACCGCAGACAAGTGTGCTCACAATCGAAATGACCTAGATCTCAACAAAAGTCTGCCGATGTTTCCCCAAACGTTACGTTTTCATTAACCCACTCATTAGTTCTGTTTTGTTATTTTGCTTCTGATTTCTGGCAATTTAGATTGGAGTTTAAAAATGTATTTCGCTGAACCTGAGGTGCTCGACAAAATTTGTATGGAGACAGACCATGTTGACTCAGACAATGACCTTGATGGTTTTGATTGGGAGTCTTCAGATCAAGGAAAAAGTGATGATGAAAAATAGGGTGGCTGTCTTGGACAATTTCCTCTGTACTTTGTGATTTCTCAGGTACCCCAGGCTCTTGTAGATTCAGCACTTTATTCATTGGTACAGATTACAATATGTTCTTGAACTTCAAATGTTTTTTTTTTATTCAACAAGGAACAATCCTGACAGATAATGTTTCCATTTGTATATGACATCAGTAAGATCTTATGGTATCTCGGAGCTGTTGAAAAATTTGGAATAAATTCTTGTCCCATTTTTAATCCACGGAGCAATGAGATACTTCTAGTTTGAACTATCTGGTAACAAATATTTTACGTTGTGCCAGTCAGGCTTTCAGTTTTAGTCGTACTGTCCTTGAGTTATAGCCCTTGTCACATGGATCCATAAATGTTGTAGTTCTTGGAAATCTGAAGCCTGTAAGTCCTGCATCACTTCATAATGAATCAAAAGTTTTTATTTTACAAGTGTTATTTTATGTACGACGTGATGACCGGTTGTTGCAATCCTTACAAAAACATTTTCTCTCTTTCTTTCTTTCCACGGACAGATGTCTTCAGAACGTCAGAACCTGACAGAAATGTTCAGCTATCTGTCCGGAGAACATTCACGACGTTACCATGTTGAAGGGGACATCAGCGCTGCTTACTCAGAGATAGTCATCAACAGGATCTGTGGGTAGATTTGGCAGGACGAAGGATGAAGCTGGCAAAGAGAACGGGAAACTACTTATCGTGCGGTCAAACATTTGTGGTGCAACCTATGGTCAAATATTTCTCTAATGGGTAAATCAATGTTACTATTGTTACCCACACTTGACACTGCTGTTTCTATCAATTTGACTCAAGTTAATCATATTTTTCCATAAAAACTGAGGTTAGACTAAAACACTTTTCTGAATAAAATACTACTAATCTCTGTCACGCAGAAAAAGGGATTGTTCACAGCACTTCCCGCTCCTCTCCTAACACACAGTTTGCACATATGTGGCCTATGTCACAATTCGCCAGTGACACTTTCTAGAGGTAAAACTTTAGCCCTCACATTGTCATGATATCCTGATAAATGACAAGTGAACTTGAGAACAATTTCTGCTCATATTTTACAACAAGTCTGTTGCCGTCTTTTTTAAACTTTATTTGACACTTTTAAAGAAAGTGCGATTCTCCACACAGTGTAACCCACTCCTAGCCAGTAGCCATGTGCTTGCACCCGTGTGTTTTGGTCTGTAGAAATCGTCGACGGGAATGTTTTATTACTGCTTGTGGCATTAGTAGTCTAGTGGTTAGGCTACCGGACTCGTAATCGTGAGGTTGTGGGTTCGGGGGTTCGAGCCTTGGACCCAACAGTGTGTCCCTGGAAAAGGCACTTTACTCGAATTTTCCTCACTTCACCCAGGTGGGAATGGATACACGGCCATAGACGGCGAAAGATCTTGTCAGTATGTTAGTGTTTTAGCGCCTATAAATGGCTGCTTGCACTGTATGCTTCCCAAGAAAGTGAGGTTGTTTCAAAATGCTCTCAGGTCTGCTGGTGTTATAGTATAGATTGTGAAGCGCATAGAGCTTGCTGTTGAACGGGGATTTGCACCGTACAAATGCTATCTATCATTATTACTTATTAAGGAATTTTGTAGAATGCAGCGTACAGTATAAATAAAATATATTTCCATTATTCCAGTTTAAGAAAAGTAAATTGTTGTGATTTCTGCTTCCACTGCCAGTCTGCCTAATGCAAATATACGCAAAGGTAACATTCTTATGCTTAAAATTACAAGGAGACACTTAACATTATCGATATCATCATCATCATCATCATCATCATCATCATCATCGCCATCATCGTCATCGCTTTTGTGATCAAGTAGGACATTTTCAAACCCAAACCAAAGCAACCTTGAAGCAACTGGCGTCTGTGGTGTAGCGGTCAGGTGCTTCACCATTGCACGCAGGAGACCCAAGTTCAATTCCCGAGTGGAGAGAAGATTCCATCGATTATCTCGATCTTTCTGCTGGGATTTTGTACCTTCTCAATCTGGGTTGGTCCTGACAGGCAGGGTCAAAACCCGCCTCCTAGATAATCTAAATTGTGTTGATGGGGGTGTAAAAGACACCTACTGAAAACAACCTGAAACAGGTCAGAGCTGCTGTATAGTAGGATGTCAATCGTCTCTTGACTTGAGACGTTGAAATTCTGTTTGTTGAGTTTGCAGGTGTGGTTGAAAATGATTCTGTTTGCTTTATTTCACTGGTTCAAATCAATTCACAATGACTTGTGCCACTTACAATAACTTTATAGATTGGAAATATTTGAATGACAGCATGAACAAGTGAATGCTGCATTATAAATGTTGTCATTGTTATTTTTCTATAGTATGCCATATATTACTATCTATTGTAATAAATGTGCTTGAAATTTACTATAATTTTTTATGAGTTGACTTTGTGTTCTTTTTGTTAAAAATATTTTTTCTAGCACGTCTAGATGTATTTACCAAGTTACAGTTGGTCTCGATGAAAGAACAGAATGTCACACTTTTGTCAAACTAGGGGTTGTGTACCGACTTTTCAAAGTGCAAAAATGAAATGAATTGAAAGCGGTTGAATGTATCAGGGTAAAAGTACAAACTACATGTATGATGTTCAACAGGCTCTTCAGAAATATAATATACAAAATAACTGTTGTTTTCTTCGAGTATGAGTCTGAAAAATCTAAGTTACAATTCTCAAAAACTTAAAAAATCTGACATGTATATATCTGATATTTTTTCTTCCAGCCCATCAAATGTATGTCTGTGGTGACAGTGACTGGTGAAGCATGCAAAGGTTTACATCTCTTAAAACAAAAAAACCTTGAGTTCTCTTGTGACTTGAAGATCACTTACATTATGCACTGACATCTTTACTAATTATGTAGACGACAAAGACATTTCAGTACATGACATTCTCT